TCGTGCAGCCGCACGAGCAGGCGGGCGCGGGCCGAGAACTTGCTGGCGGTGCGGAGCACGAGCGGGCGCTTGCTGGGGTTGGGGGTGCTGGGCTGCTGCTCCACCACGAAGGCGCTGGGGAAAAGGAGGGGTCAGGGCTGCCCCGAGACCCCCCCTGTTCCCCCCGTGCTGCCCCCACTTCCTAAAATGACAGAATGTCCCGATTTGGAGGGAGCCCAGGGGGATGATCCAACTCCTGGCTCGGTACAGCACAGCCCCAAAACCTGCCCGGTCCCAAATCCCAACATTTGAGTGCTGTCCAAACGCTCCCTGAGCGACAGAACTGTGGAATAGCCACAGCTGGAAGGGGCACATCAGGATCATCGAGTCCAGCTCCTGGCCTGGCACAGAACAAGCCCAAAATTCCCCCAGTTCCCAAATCCCAGCAGCTGAGAGCATTGAGGACCTGAGAGCATTGTCCAAACACTCCCTGACCCCCGGGATTCTGGAACATCCTGAGCTGGAAGGGACCCACAAGGATCAAGAACAACTTCTGGCCCCCCATAACACCTGAAAGATGTTCAAACACTCCCTGGCTCCTGGAATTCTGGAATATCCTGAGCTGGAAGGGACCCAGAAGGATCAAGAACAACTCCTGGCCCTCCATGGACACCCCAAAAGTCCCCCCACAACACCCGAGAGTTGTCCAAACACCCCCTGGCTCCTGGAATTGTGGAATATCCTGAGCTGGAAGGGACCTACAGGGATCAAATCCCAACTCCAGGTTCTGCACAGGACACCCCAAAATCCCACCCTGTCCCTGAGAGTGTTCTCCAAATGCTCCTTGAGGTGGGAAGGGGCCCACAGCAACCTGTGAGTCCCAGGACATCCCCAAAAATCCTAAATCCCAACACCCGAGAGCGTTTTGCAAACACCCCCTGACCTCCTGAATTACAGAACATCCAAAACAGCAAGAGACCCCATCAGGATCATTGATCCCAGCTCCAGGCCACCCCAAAATCCCACCCTGTGCCTTGGGAACGCCATCCCGGAGCTCTGGCAGCCTCGGGAGTGTCACCTTTTCCCGGGGAGCTGTTCCAGCGCTCAGCCACCCTCTGGGGGAAGGAACCTTTTCCTGACCTCCCCCCTGGCCCAGCCCTTCAGATCCCGCCCCACACCTCTCCAGCAGGTGCGTGAGCTGCTCCTGCAGCCGCTGCTCCAGCAGGGGCGTCTCTGCCACCAGCGGGTCCCTCTCGTAGGTCACCTTTTGTCGCAGGTCGCTCAGCGCCCGCAGCAGCTGCCGCAGCTGGAACAGCCCCTGGCCCAGCTGCGTGAACCTGGGGGGAGCCAGGCAGCTCAGAGGGGTCTGGGGGCAGCCCCCCCGAG